TCTGTTTCTGTCACTCATTTTTAAAGTGAGTTCGTTCTATTCTTTCTGTTTCCCTTAGATTTTTAGATTGTTCTGCTTATGTCACTCGTATATGTTATTTAATTGGTTTGCAGATAAATAACATGACCAATATATCTATTATTAAAAATAAACATGACTTGATGCAATATGTAAATAAGAATAGACGAGCTCGCAAGGGAAGAAGTCAATCATTTGGACGCCTAATCTTGAATTTCGCTAAAGCATCAAAAACTTAGCAAATTCTCAAAGTTTCATCAGAGAAAAATTTTATGTGAGACTCATGTTTTCCGGGTTTTGAAGTAATTTGCTGTTTATGACAAGTTGAGGAAGCACATGTTAATATAGTTAAAAAAGAGAAAAATTCAAATTACAGCAAGACCTCTCTAAATGCAATCTCCTTAAAAGCACGACTATGTTTACTCACAATTAATATACGCACCGATTTAGTCCAAGTACATGAAGCATTAAGTATTTACGCTCCGTAAATGAATTTTTCTCTAAATGCAGTTTTCTTTATCAATTAATAATCTAGCATTGAGTGGTAGCTTATCTGGAGAATTCAGAGCTGAAAAAATTGTTGCACGTTATATCTGATTTTTTCTCCGTCTCCTGACGACGTGCACTTAGGGAGGTCTGTCTGTATTCAAAGTCATCTGTGAACGAACGAAATTAATTGATGTATGCATATCAGTTTATTCAGAGGAGTGACTTTTATCAGACATTCCTTAATGTTCACGTTTTTATTCTCGACAATCTCATTGTCACATCTCGAGATATGACATTCAACCGTAAGGACGAGCCCCTTTGGAGATTTACGAAACTCGGAATTCTCTTAATGAGGTCGTTTTTATTACGCACTGAACTTTGTTTTTGTCGAACTTGACGTTTGACGCCTGTTGCTAACACGTTTAGCACTTATTCTTCTGCTGGATGTTTATATTTATTTATGAGGGAACAACGCCAAGTGTGGAATATTTCCACATTTTAATCCGTCTAATTAATTAAGCTCTGCAGGAAATGTGGATTGCTTTCAAAGAGTAATCTTAGTGGAAAAGTCATCGAATACGTACGATGGAATCCCAGAGAATGGAATTATGGAGAAATCAAATGAATGCCCCTCTCTTTGGGAAGAGGAAGAAGTGAAAGCACGAACTTCGACAGGCAGAAAGCCTTATAAATATATCAACGGGAAATATTGATTACACAGTGTTTGATTAACAAATTAAAAAATGAATAGAAGATATAAATATGCAATTGAATTAAAAAAAACTTTGTGTTTATGCTATTATTGTTGGCCACTTCATACAGTACCCTCATGATTAAGACCCGGTTCTATACAAAGTACCCATGGGTACTATTCAATTTAAAAAAGGAGTTCTTGAATAAGACCCCAGGTACTATATACAATAACAAACGGTAGTAAGATTAATGTAGGAATTAGTTGTAAAAAGCATCATTTTACCTCAATCTCCACAATCGCCATTCTTTTCATCGAATCTCGAATCTCGATCTTCATATCCACGAATTGTTGGTCAATCTTATCGAATCGTTAATTCATTTGTTCTTTTAGATCATCGATTCTCGGGATCGAAACAAAAAATTAGCAATAATTTTGTGTAAAGACATTAATTAAAATTTTCACATACATGATTTACTGAATTAACATGCTCTCTTATCGGATTTGGGTCAGAATCCCGAATGAACACAATCCCGAATGAACAAAATTCCGAAAAAACCTTTACTCCAATATAACCCTAACCCTAACCCTAACCCTAACCCTAACCCTAACACTAACACTAACACTAATATAACCTTTATCCTAACTCTAACCCTAACCTTTATCACAATTGAAAATATTTTACATATACATGTGATAAATAAGATTATAATATTTTTGAAATTTTAATCATTTTTATTTAAATGCGCAGCCTAATCAAAAAACTATAAAGGCACTCTTACTTACAGACTGGCAGATTCTCTTGTCTAGCTAGTAATCAAGACCCGATGCCTGTATTAGTTCATTTCAAATTGACGCAGATTTAAGAAAAAAGTGTTGTCATCGTGCCTCGTTAACCGAATCCCTCTCCCGTTAATCCAAAGCATCAATTAAAATCCCGATAAACGATTTCGGTTTAACAAGTGTATGTGTGAGACACCTATACTCGACAATTACGTGATCAAATATCAGGACCCTTATATCCCTAAAACTTTTTACAGATACTACTTTTAAAATCTGACCGATAATTTTGTTCTTCATAATAAGCTCCACAAAGTTACCGGTCAAATTTTGAAAATAATATCTTAGTAAAAGTTGTAGAGGTTTAAAGATCCAAATATTTGGTCATGTGATTGTTGAATACAGATGTCCCGCACCATATCTCTAACAAAAAATATTCCTTGCAAAATTTTTACCACAAGATCAATAAGAAAAAAATTCAAAACATATGTTGATTTTTGAAAAATAGCTCGTATCTCGAAATTTTGACTAACAGACTTTTCTTTGGCAGACTGGGCAAGTAAGGTTGCCGTGTTGATTTTTACAAAGTTTACAGGCTTCATAGTCCATGTAAATGAGTTTGCCGTTTACTTTCATTTGCTCTCTTGTGATTTTGTTGATGAGATGAAACCACCTTTTGTGTTCTAACAAAAAAATTTTGTCACTCTTTGTGTGTTGTGTACCAACAACTTCCATCCTGAATCTCTGGATTTTATCGCTTCATCAAAGGATTCAAAGAAATCTTTTCTAATTATAATTTCCTCATCAGATAATTCTTCCTCTCCTTCATTATGTAATTCTTTCTCTTCATTATACTCAGACACAATAGCCTAATACAATCTTGTCTGAAAATCATTGCTCTAATTCAAAAAATTGTATGATCACATGACTGAGCCCTAATGAATTTGAGAATACTATTAGAAAACTTACCATTTCAAATTGTACATTCAAATAAACTTTTTGGATCTAACTCGATTTCAAAAGCTAATTTGACAGGTTCAACTTTGTTTCTCTAATACAAAACTGCGAGATAATGATCATGTGAAAAAAATTGCTAGATTCCTAAAAGCACTTAGACTTGCAATGGATCGGCTTAAACATTTTCATCGAAATTTGACGTTAGACGAATCACCAAAAGGACCAGCGTTATTTTCTAAATCTTGGAACATTTTACTAATATTTTCCTGTACTTCATCTAGAGAAGCCCAGTATTATCATTATCATAGCGGTTATTTTGAGTATCACCTACACTGCTTGCCTCTTTCGAGCTACTTATTGTTTGTTCGAATTTTATTTCTCGCTCAAGAAACGGTTCAAGATCTTCTAAGTGGATTTAAAGATCCAGATATTTTGGTCATGCGATTGTTGAGTATAGATGTCCCGCACATATCTCTAACAAAAAAAATGTTTATTTTTGAAAAATAACTCGTATCTCGAAATTTTGACTATGAACTCACCTTTTGTGTTCCAATAAAAAATTTTGCCGCTCCTTGTGCGTTGTGTACCAATAACGACTTCCATCCTGAATCGCTGGACTTTATTGCTTCGTCAAAGGATTCAAATTACAATTTCCTCATCAGATAGTTTATCCTCTTCTTCATCAGGTAATTCTTTTTCTTCATTAACCTCAGAAGCCCAATACAATCTTGTCTGAAATCTTCATGGATCATTCCAATTAAATTCTTTACCTTTTTGGTCTATTTTCTGTCAGATCTTTTTAATGCATCAATTAAAAATCCTCCGCAGGATCAATGACTAAATCGGCCGACCATAGTTGGCGCGCGAGCGGGCTGGGGCGCGCCCCGAGTAGATTGAGCGCGACCGACTCTCACGGGGCGGTCGACTGGCCGCGTCCCAAGCCCGGAGGGCAACGTTGCGAATATTCAAATATAAAAATAAAAATTATTCATTTTTTTAAAGACTAACGAAACAAGCAAATATTTATCTTAAAAATCACGAGATTTACATCACATGGCACGGTTCTGTATAAAACCATTTAATAGTTACCGGCTCACATATGATTAGCGCATTCTTATTAGTTGATTATCATGTGATCAGGAACCGAGCACAGATTATAATTACACCGGTGGAGCTAGTAAAAAATGCAATGTTATTGGTTACGGTTATTACAATCACGGAACAATTTTTCGGCGTATTTTAAATGGTGTATAAAAAAAGAAACACGAGATACCTAAATCTACTTGGAGAACTAATAAAAAATTGACAGGAAGGCAATTTCACATATAAATTTATTTCCGGTTCTATTGCTGACCCTGACCTCAAATCAACATTTAACATTAGTCAAGGTGCTGGTTAGTTGAGCAATGTCTTGATCCTCAGCTTCTTATCTTTTGAAAGCTATGCATTCTCCTCACTGTAATCCGGACAAGAGAAAAATAAAACTCCTCACTCATGCACTCCTTACTTTCCACAATATGGTGCCCAGCTCGGAAAATTTTACCGTAATGTTAATTAGTAATAAAAAACTCGATTATACGTAAAATTGCCTCGCCGACATTGCTTCAAGCTAGATTCTCATGTAGGATAATGTCACGTGGAAGCGGACAGTGACACAATAAAAAATAGTAATGAAAAGACACGAAAAAATCCTGATAACGATAAATCCGGAAATAAAATAGTAGATTTTGATAACTTGTTGATGTGTTACGATATTTGATGACTTTTCTTGTTATTGCTATTTGATGATGACTTCGTCGAAGTTAAAAGTGTCTATAAATTAAAATTATCCTGATTGCAGATAAAATAAAGAAATAAGAATAGAAAAAAAAAGAAAAGAAAATATTTAAGTTTAAACATTTTGAATATTCCTTTTTCATTATCAAACATATAAACAATAGCGTAGTCTAATTTACATATTCTTTTATATATATATACACATATATAAACCTTTATTATTACCTTTATTTAAATTGCACCCACGTTAACTGACGGGATCGATCCAAACCAGAATAAAAAAATAAAAATGTCGGATAAACGAAGGCAAGTAGCCATTGTGAAAGCAAAGCAACAAGTTGCACAGAAAAAAAGACGGCGAAGAACTGAGGATAGTGTAAAGTCTCAAACTACCAATACATCAACAATTCGATCCCTCAACTCCCCGAAATTATCTTCTTCCACTACTACTACTCCTACCTCATTTTCTACTAGCACACCCACTTCTAATATTAATAATAAAGTGTAGGCTTATAAAAATTTGACGTTAGAAAGTTTTGTATTTCTCGCACTTTGACTAATGCTACTTTTACAGTTACCCATCTTCGTCGTACTCTTCCCACTCGCGGCAACTTACAGGCAATGACTTTGAATCACCTTCCGATCGATCTTCGCCTAACGAGGAGGAAGACGACGAAAGGGAGCAAGATCCCGCTCAAAAGCATCTAACTGAAGACGAGGAAGATGTGGTGGATTATTGTAAAGGTGGCTATCATCCTATTAAGATTGGAGATCAATTTCAAAATGGAAGATATGTGGTTGTGCGAAAATTGGGTTGGGGTCATTTCTCTACCGTATGGCTTGCCAAAGATACAACGTAAGCGGCGATGATGATGTATTTTTTTTAATCATTGAAGATTTCATATTCTAATATTTATTTATTCGTCCTCATTATCAACAATAATAAAGTCATGATCGTCATGTTGCGTTAAAGGTTGTGAAATCTGCACAACATTATACAGAAACAGCATTGGATGAAATTAAATTGCTTAAAAAAATTGTAAATACTAATCCTGAGGCTCCTGGTCGTCGTCATGTGGTTGAACTCTTGGAAGATTTTCGAATCGAAGGACCAAATGGTCAACATGTTTGCATGGTGTTTGAAGTTCTTGGTGAAAATCTGTTAAGCTTAATTAAGCGTTACAATCATCGTGGAATTCCGGCGCCATTAGTCAAACAGATTACTTTGCAAGTGCTGATGGGTTTAGATTATATGCATCGAGAATGCGGTGTAATTCATACTGATTTAAAACCGGAAAATGTGTTGGTTTGCATTGAAGATGTCGAGGAAGTGGTTAGGCATGAACTTTCGACTTCAAGTGTTCCAAGGACAACAACTCATAAGAAATCATCAAGTGATGTCATCTTGCGTATAACCAGCAGTCAACCTTTATCATCACCTACGTCCGTTTCCCCAAGATCATCAAAATCTTCCTCGATATCTTTCTCACGCGTTTCACATCCACCACCAAGTTCCACATCAACCAAAGGAATGTCAAAAAGTCAGAAAAAGAAATTAAAAAAGAAGAGAAAAGCTGAAAAGGAACAAAATTTGTCGAATGGCATTACAAAAAATGCTGCAGTTGACACTACTCATGTTGTTGATAAGGAGAAAGAGGAGGAGGGTGTGGATGATGATGAAACGGAAAAAATATATAACGAAGATGGTATATGTTTATATAATGAAGAAATTGAAACTGAATCTCATGAAACATTCGGAAGTCCCATGGAAACAATGTCGTAAGTTTAATAATGACTATCCTTTTACATTTTTTTTATCAATTTATCTTGCCAATATATTTATTAAAAAAAAAAAAAACAGAGATAATTTGGAACGTAATCTTAACGATATTTCCCTTGCGGACAAATCAAAAATCATCAATCCAAATTCGTCATCATCAGATTCACGAAGGGCTTCATCCGCGTCGAAATTCACTGCTGAGCTTCCACGAATTAACGTGAAAATTGCTGATTTAGGTAATGCTTGCTGGGTGGATCATCATTTTACGAATGATATTCAAACAAGACAATACAGAAGTCCCGAAGTTATCTTGGGCAGTCGTTGGGGGACAAGTGCTGATATCTGGAGTATGGCTTGTATGGTAAATTCAATTTTTCTTTATCATGAAAATTCGAAATTTGACCATTAATTATTCACGAATATTAAAAAAAAAAAAGGTATTTGAATTATTCACTGGAGACTATTTGTTCGATCCACAAGCCGGTAGTCGATACAACAAGGACGATGGTAAGAAGTGGATATATTTTTATTTCTCGAATTAAAATGCATTTTTTAATCTTGATATTTTTATAGATCACATCGCACAAATAGTCGAGCTACTGGGTCCATTTCCAAAACATCTGGCCTTGGCTGGCAAATATTCAAATGAGATATTTAACCGAAAAGGTAAAATAGAAGCTATTTTCTTTATTACAAATTTAATTCATATTCAGAAATAAAAGATTAATTATTTTTGTTAAAGGCGAACTTCGTCATATTCACAAGCTTCGCTACTGGAAACTTCCCGATGTTCTCTGTGAAAAATATCTTCTTCCTCGAAATGAGGCAGAACTTTTCGCCAATTTCCTAATTCCAATGTTGGATTTGAATCCCGAAAAACGTGCCTCAGCAAAACATTCATTAACTCATCCTTGGCTTGAGGAAGGCTACTATGAGGCATCCAATAATAAAGCACACACGACTACAACGGCGACAATGTCAACTTCATCATCATCGACTTCACATGTAGCTGCAACGTCATCTTCTCGAGTTTCTGCTCCTATTCCAACTAATGGTACAAGGAATAAAAGTATCACAACAAAGAGTCATAATAGTTTAAGTACGAAGAGTTAATAACCTTATTCATATATATAATATATTAGGGAAAAAACAAGTGTGTATATGCCCCGCGTACATAAAAATATGGATGAATATATGGATACTATTAGATATCGTCAAATGCGGCATCGTACTTCAACAGTATATATTTCACTGGTGCAAGTTTGAGAGTCTTAGTATATATAGTCTTTTCTTATTTTCTGAAAAAAAAAGGGAGAGTCACAAAGGCAGTAGTGGTCTATATATAGTAAATGGTGTTGGCAAAAATAGAGTGCGTATGCTTGAAAATATAATACAAAGAATGATGTATATTGGGAAAAAATCAAAGATTAAGAGCAGATTAGATTCATTCAATCAATCAATCAATAAGGGTAACATTAGTTTTTTTTTATTGAGGAACTTTTATTTTGTGTGTACAAAGTATTCTGTAGTTTAATAATAATGTAGAAAATTTATTTTTTATTACGACACTTGTGTATGGAGAACATATCAAGCAACATCCCCAAAACTCTAATGGCCAACAGCCTTCAAAAAAAATCTTGCAGCTATGAATTTCAAACGTTGTCACATGATAAAAATAAGATGTCACAAAATGAATGCATCAAAAATTTTTTTCTGTTCAGAATAAATTATGGCGGCTACAAAACCTCAAAAAACTGGTCTAATCGTTGGTCTTAATAAAGGCCATGTTGTTACGCCACGTGAATTACGTGCTAAACCCTCCCAAAGGAAAGGAGTAAGTAGGAGTGAGTTTTACCTTAACAATTGATCGTTGGAGTTAATTAGTATGAATATTCTCATCCCGAATCTGATTTATTAATTCTTGCATTTTCAATCAAAAAGAAACTCTCACAGCGTGTGAAATTTGTGCGTGATGTGATCCGCGAGGTAGCAGGATTTGCACCATACGAGCGTCGTGTCATGGAATTGTTGAAAAACTCGAAGGATAAGCGTGCAAGAAAATTAGCAAAGAAAAGAGTAACGTGTTTTTTCTTCATCTTAATATGAATCTATTATCTTTTTCTAATTATACTTTTTCTTGATTATTAGCTTGGTACTTACGTACGCGCAAAGAGAAAAGTCGAAGAGCTTAGTAATATCATCGCTGAATCCCGTCGTAAAGAAAAATAGATATTTGCGATGCTTGCTCTATATTGTTATCAGTAAACAGGGTGTATTAGTCATTTATGCGAATAATAATCTGTGTATCAATATAAATTTTATTTAAAATAAAGTTGTCAGGTATTGAATTTATTTTATTCGCACTCTCGAATATCTATCATGATCATAAAGTTCCACCAAAAAATATTGCGAGCATTCAAAATGCAATATTATTAATGAATGATGCCCAATAAATTACATAAATAATCAAACTTTAATTAATTCACGAAAATTATTATTATTGTTTTGATCAAATTTCAGGCTCAGGTTCAGGCTCAGGTTCAGGTTCAGGTTCAGGTTCAGGTTCAGGTTCAGGCTCAGGCTCAGGTTCAGGTTCAGGTTCAGGTTCAGGTTCAAATACCCATCGCTGACTGTCATTATTTCTTCTCTTTTTACGATGTAGTATTATATGTGCACCTTCTGTTGTAGAATCTCCCAGAATATATAATACAAGTTTATATTGATTCTCTGCTGAGGCGATAAATCCATCTTTTAGTAGACACCATAATTGTGTATTAGCTTCGTTTTTTGGTTTGCGTGCATTTTGACAAATATATGTTCGTTGAAATTTGCGTAAATATCCTGCATTACAAAAAGAGGGTTAAATAATAAACGAATAACTCAAAGAAAGAATTGATTGAATATAATGTAAAAAACCTTCTTCATAATCAAGTGCTAATCTTGATGCTTTATTGATAAGAAATCCGCCATCCCAACTCCAAAGCTGTCGTCCAAATCGATTAATAAAAATCACATCAAGAATACTAGAATAACAATCGACTTTATAAATATTTACCTGACTATCCGCGTCAATTCCAAACCGTTGTTTATTAATCACAAGCCTTACTCCCGCATTGACAGATAAACTGAGAGGTTCAATGACATTAGGACAACTAACTGACTTTATGTAAAACCAGCCTTCATTTATTCAATAAGATATATGACTTTAGTCCAATGAACACACATGCTCTTATTCTTTTATATTATTAATCGTATAAACCTTTAGGAAATTCTAGTTTTTCTTCTTCTTTTGCTTCCTCTTCGTCCAAGTCAGACTCTTCTTTTTGATGATTATCGACAAACATTTGCTCTCAACAATTATGAATCACTGTGTCTGATCAATTCCGCTTTTGATACAAAATTTCAGATTCTTGAAAAATTACAAAATAAATTTTTAATGGTTTAAATATTAAAGGACAAGAATGCTATTGAGTAAATGAGAACGTTTCACCAAGTACTTGTTGAGTTGTTATGTATCTGAAGTTACGCTGCTGCAAATAATACCAGGTAATATTTCAAAAAATTAGATAAAGAAGATAAAACATCTTGCAACCGGAGGATCAATCCAAATGTTTAACGACAGCAGCAATATAACGTTTGGAATGTGTCAAGAAAATGAAGGAGCTTCCGGCTCTTCTTCCTTGCATTCGGCAGATAAAGACTGTGTTGATTGCAAGGACATCTTGGGAAAGTTCGTGTTCAATCGGAGGTCGCATCGTCGAAGGCGAAGCGGCAGAGTCGGCAACCAAGGAAGGAGAACCTTTCTCGACCCACACGACCAAACACAAAACAAAAGAAGAAGAAATAATCCCCAACTCCGTTTATGTAAAAAACGATAGGGTAAACACCAGTATACTCAGTATACTTCAATCTCTTTGAGCTTAAATTATTGATCCTTATTTTTTTTGGTCTCATTTGAAACCCGACAGTGGTTTCTCCCAAAAAGCAGAAGAGCGGCACACTACCTGCGCTATCACTGACTGACGCTGTAAAACAAGGGACAACCAGTAAGTAGGGCATTTCAAAAGCTCAAATCTATTGGCTTCTGATCATCTAGTTAAATTGCTTTTAACTCGTGTCCGTTGGATTGATGTTCAACCTTCTATAGTTCTGCCGTATGGAACCATTCTTAATTGAAGATAACTCGACCCTTAGTAGAACGTATGGTTTATTCCTTACGATACTCGGGAGTTTGATTCGAACCTAGTAGAAGGTTACTCGATCCTATACTCGGGGGGTTTGTATTGACTTGCTTCTTTAGAGGGGAGGTTCTAAATACATTGATCTAATATTACAGGAGTCTCTAATGATTGCCAGAGAAATTACCAAAGACGAATTCGATTAGATCCAGCGTATGAAATTATAGCCATAGAAGCATCATGCGATGTTGACTTTGCGTTTAAGATTACGATAATAGAAAGTGGTCTAGAAGAGTTGATATGTACAACTGAGGCAGAAAGAGATGGCGAAGCTATAGGAATTATCAAAATATCATTCAGCTTGAAAGCGCCTTCTATTCAAAAAGATTTATCATTCACGCCATTTCACTTTGATTTCTTCAAGTAGCCAAAGAATGTTTTTAAAGTATACACCAAATAAGATATATTGCGCATCTAGTTATTGGAAGACGACATCAAGATGTGAAGAACGTTATGAAAATTGTGGGGTTATTGAAGGACAGAGTGTAAGTTAATGATTCTTTCGTTTGTAAGAAAAATAGGGTAAAAACATATTGAATAGGTCTTCTATAAGTCTATGAGCTAGTGATATCCCTATCTTTGTAATGGAACTGACAAATAAACTTTGGGGAACAAAACTCGCATTTGCAATTCCATCTACTTTCGAATTTTAAACTATATTTGCATCAAAAGTAAAAATTATTCTTCTCTGATCTGCACATCGGAAGTGATTTTCCGCTAAGACATTCTTAATACCATTCGAAGGCTTTTATTCTGAGCTTCGTCTTTCTAGCGTATGGTTATAAATTTCTTCGCGTGTGATTTGCATATATATAAACTTGAGTCAGTAATTTTCGTGCGACCTGTAACTTAACGCATATCGATTTAAGGACTCAATACCTAACTCAGACATATGAATTTTGAAATCGTCACAATATGTATACTTTCTATTATGTATGCTAAAAATTAGTTATATACGTAATTGTCATAGCTGTTGAATGCCATTTTTCGAAGTGAACGAGACCTCGAACGTAAAGCCCACTATTCGATAAAAATTGTAACGACGTCGCATAGAATGGTCGGCAATTTCCTATCACATGACATAATCCAATATCCACGGAGCAATTAATTTTTTTTTACTTAACTTTATTGGACACACGAATCTTTTTTATTTGGACAACCAAAACCACTTCTTTTTCAATTTTTTAAAGATGGTAATAGTTCTTTTCTCTATTTTGGTCAATTATGCACACATCTTCAAATAGCGTATTAAAGAATACTGAAAAAAATTAGATTAAAGGAAATATGAAAAAAGAACCAGTCCGATTTTGAACAAAACTAATAGTTGATTTTATTTTTATGATACAATGAAAAGCCTAAACAAATTCTCGATATCAAAAAATTCCTCGCAATTGCTCAACGGAAAGACGCAAAATGTACATACACAAGTATATCCTCTCAATTATCGTGGTAAACTAATATATATATATACATATTCACTTAATTTGATAAAAATTTGACATGTCTAGCCGCTCGTATCAAGAAAAAGAAGAATAGTTCAAGCGTGAAATTTAAGCTTCGTTGCTCACGTTATTTATACACATTAGTGATAGAGGATGCGGAAAAAGCAGAGAAACTTCGTAAATCTCTTCCACCTGGTAATTAATTTTGAATTTCTCTAATGTATCAATCAATAATTTTTTTGTAATGAAAATTTTTTTAATTTTTTATCGATTAACTATTTAGGTCTTACCGTGACAGATGTAAAACCAAAGAGAGAATAATTATAATAAGAACATCATTTAACGACAATAAAGGATCAATTATTGCTTCTTTCTTAAATTGCCTTCCGGCATATATTTCATGACCATTAAATAATTTCCTGTATTTGGGTCTTGAGAAATTCCATAACGAGGAACTATATTATTAAACCAGCCATCTATGATTTTATGGTTAGCTGTTTCTTGGAGAAAATTAATGTTGTCTTGGGAATTAGTGATGATTTTTATTGTTGCTAAGTTTTTTTATTACAATTGGATTAACATTTTTTCAAAAAATGAATAAGAACCTTACATTTTTTGACATCAAACAGTTTGTTTGCTTTTATATATAAATGAATGAATAGCAACTAATAAAAATAGTAAACTTCATTAATACTATAAATTAATCAACCAATAAAGCCAAATAGAAAAAACGGGTAGATTTAATGATAAAAAGGATACTTTGCACATAAATAGGAGGATTCGTTATAGCGTGCAATGTGGCATGATAGTGTATAAAGGTGGGGGGGTTGTAAATACAAAGAAATCAAAAGTTACAAAATTTAATTTTTCTCATACTTTAGAAGGCTCTCATCCAATCCCATTTTTCTATATTTATATTTTGTTTTTGCACAAAAGATCATCATTAAGAAATCGTTTTGTGAATAAAATAAAACATTGTCATCACAGTAACAGTTAAGATTGGTATCACAGCAATATACGAATAGATTAACAAACGAGCCATCTCTTCCTGAAAAGCACCCGTTAACTGAGTGATATTGATACAGTTAAAGGCAGATGGACCCGAAGCTAACATCATCAACACAAACCAGAGCATTGGATCGTCCACAAGCCAATCACGAGTCATCATTACCAAAAATATTCCTATAAATGGCATAATCATAAATCGGGCGATCATCACCCAAGAAATAGCCGAATACATTTTTCCACCTTTTGATCTTGATGATAGATTACTCAATTGAGCTCCAAGAGTAAGTAATGTTAAGGGTGTTGACGCGTTTCCCAGAAATATCATTGATTTGGTGATTGTCGGATATAATAGTGCATTTTCACCAAAGAATAATGACTTAAGAGATGGGATTGAGCCGACAATCAATGCTGCTATAGCTGCGTAGATTGGTGGATTCATTAGTGTCTCGACATTTGACATCACTTCTCGTACTCTACGAGATGCAGTCGAGAAATTTTTTGCATGTGAAGAGGAAATGGGACGAAGAAGAGGCGTGGATTCGTTAAATGAACCTTCGTGCGATATTTTTCGTGATAGGTGTGCTCTTTTGGCTGATTCTTCATCAGAAAGAAGATCTTTAACAAGATCATTGTAACAAACATTTTCAACATCATCATCATCATCATTTTGTGGTTGCTCTTTTCGTAATAAATATGTGCCAAGACTCCACCTAACATATATAAATAATACGTATGTTAAATAATAGATAGCATATATATATATAAAATCCTGTATGCATCATACACTACTCAACTAACCTCAATAGATTGCCCATTAATGTCGCCAATAGAATATAAGAAATACCTCTAGCTTTTGCTTTTTCTGGGGTGTCTTCCTCCTTCCATAGCAAAAACTGCATCGCTTCTGTGGTCCCGAGATTCTGTATTAATCCCAACGTTAGACTCGTCAAATTATTAAATATTATGGAGGCAGTAACGAATTTAGTTTGCTTCGAATCAAAACCAAATAGCTTTCCGCCCAGTAAACCAAGGGACCCGCTAAACATGGCAAAAATATAGAGGAAAACAGGAATCGGCCAGAGATATATGATTGTCGCGGCGTCGGTTCCTGATGCGACTTGTGAGAATAAAAGTGATGGCATCAAAACTGTTATTATTAGCTCTGATAGTCCCTGTTTTTGAAGGAGATGAAAGAGAATTATTTTTTGCGAGAATTCAAATCGTGGAGTAATAATGATTTTCTTACCTTCTGTACTGTTGTCGTTATTATTCCTACCCTTGCACACCAATATCCAATTAGACATAAAAGCAGTATAAGTGTACTTGACTATAAAATAAGAAACCATTAGCGTATATTACAAATAGAGCTTCGACCAACTTCCTTTCGGACTGTATTTTCTACCTGTGCAATAATAGATAGTAATTCTGTGAATTCCATTCTTTCGTTCATATTCAATTAAAATAACGAATAAATAAATTGTTCAATTAAAAGACGTTTGAATAATGAAATGCAAGTGGGTAAAAACACACACAAAGAATATATAGAGTTAATTGAGCTGGTAAGAAAGGATTAATATTAAAAAAGGAAAAACTCTTCGTATTAACAAAAAAACGCAAAGACCGCCGTTTTCTTAGAAGAGAGAGCAAACGCACAAAAACCACATAGTTAAAGTGTGGTAAAAAGGCCGTTGATTTTATTATTATTTTTCAAAAAAGAAAAGGAACAAGACGAAGTATATCTGATGTTGGCTTCCATTTAATATCTATTCTAAGGGATGAGCGAAATGACAAAAAAAAAAGTAGGAGTCGAATTATTAATTCGCTTTTTTTGTACTAGCGAAACATTAAATTAAATTTGATAATGATTGACTAAAGTAAATTAATTTGTATGTATGCGTCTCTACGTAATATATATAACAATATAAATAAATTCAAGTTAACTGTCGTGTAAAACCGCAAGTCACGCGACACTCCCATGATCAACTCATGAAATAAATAATACGTATTATTTGATCTTTTTTAACTTTTTATATTTTATTTCCGCAATAAATGAAAAAAAGGAGAGAACGGTTTTTCGCGATGATATAATAACAATAATAATGTAATAATGCGTGATAAAAACATCGCATGCTGATATACGTCTTTATCATGAGAAAGCATCATTAATCGTTGTTGAGTTTCCTCTTTGGAAAGATGACTGGCTCCACAATTAGAGATGTTTCTGGTCCGCCAATACAAGAATTGGTCTTAGAACTGTGATTCTGGTAGCAAACCAGTCTCAAATTCCTATTAATGGCAACTTTTCGCAGGAAAGAAATAAATAAATATAATGTGAAAAAGAACTACGAAACCTATTCCCTCAATATTGGCAATGACCTGATATAAATTTAAGGGATCGTCTAAAACGAGGAAAAATCACGTGAAAGTATAATGAGAGGAACAGTGCTGCTGAATCAGGTGATCTTTCCGGGCCTAAAATTTATAATCAAATTTCCTAATCAGTAATGCCCAAATTTTTATCGATATCGGCAAACCAAATTCAACGCGGAAAGGCAATTCTCTCATAGAATTCAAATTAGAAAAATTGAAACTATCATTATTGTTAGAATTAAATCTAAAATAAAAGAAAGTCTTAAATTTAACTATTAAAAATATCTAAATAAATATCTAAATTACTAAATATCTTGGAATATAACTTTATATCTCAAGAAATAAATTTATAAATTTATAAATATATAAATTAAGAAATAAATGTATAAATTAAGAAATAGAAAATAAGTTATAATAAATAATAATTAAAATAAATAAAAATTTTAACTATAATAATATTATATTAATTAAAAGATTTTTAAATATAAGATATTTTGCATTTTTATAAAGATTAAATTTAATATCAATAATTACTAAAATTTCTTATCATATATTATATCTTATAATAATTTTAAAATTAGATTAATTCTTTATAATTTAAATTTTTTAAGTAAATAATTTATATTTTTTAAAATATATTAATAGAATATTATAAAGAATTATTAATATTAAAGAAATATTAATTTTTAATTATTAAGAAAAATATATAATAATTTTATTATAAGAAAAAATAAAAATTATTATAAAATATAAAAAATTTATAAAATATAAAATATTAGTGAAATTATTATTTTAAGAAATATTTGATTTGAATAATTTATTATAATTGATATAATATTTTCTTTTTTAATATATTTTTTTATTATAAATATAAAAATAATTATATTTAATATTTTTATATAATTATTAGTTAAATATAAAAAATTTTTTATAAATTTATTAGTATTATAATCTTTTATTAAATTTAATATCTTTTTTTTTCTTTAAATTAATTATTATAATTATAAATTATTAATTTTTCTAATTTTATTATTGATTATATAAATTAAAAAATAATAATATTAATAAATTTCTATATTATATTTAATTAATATAGTTTAATTAATGTAAGATTATTTTATTAATAGTTATAAATAAAATAAAATACAATATAAATAGTTTTAATTTATAAACTTATAATTTTATTATTTTAAGAATATTCAGATTTAAATTAATTTATAGAATAAAAAATATATATTTATAGAAAAAGAAGTAAATACAAAATATAAATAAATTATAAATAATTAATTTAATAAAAGTATATATACAGTGGCAATCAAAAATAATGCAACGCTTAAATTTTTTACTAATTATAATTAGTAAAATATGTATT